TCAGATCCTGGGCAGCGGGCCCACCACTTTCCCATCAGGAACAGTGAACAAGGATCTTGTAAAATACACAGACCGAAGGAAAATGACCCTTAGTGACTGAAACCAGCTGTGTCAGGCTTCTTGCTGTCTCTCCTGATTTGCTCTCTCAAATAAATGGATGTGGTAGAGGATGAGAGAAAGTAAACAGAATCATTTTTTCTCTCTTGCAGCCACACCTCAGTAAGAGCCCTGGTTTTTATAGCTGAAAAATATATGTTTATTTGCTCATTAATTTTCCCCTCTCTCCCTTGCCTTTTCTTGGCATTGAGTAGAATGTTATTTAAAACAAGACACAGTTCGGCTTCAAAAAGAAAAATCATTCTGCAAAATACAGCTTGGACTCATTTAATGGTTATTCATCATCCCTGAAAGAGTGGGGTACAAATATCTATATTTGGTATGCTTTAATGATTTAGACTGCAATGATCCATGTTGGCACAGGGATACAGGGAAGCAGTAGGCTCTTTTAGGACTTTCAGAAGTGCCCCAATCATTTATTGGCACTGCTTTCCTTCAAAGAGGACACAGGCTGGTGCTTGAATGGTGGACTCAACCCCAAGGCCTGAGGTTCTCTAAGGGATGCTTTAAAGTCTTCATTGCCTCGCTGAAGTGTGTGTTTTCTCCGCCATGCTGAAAAAGCTTTGGTTTTATGTGTCTTCCATTTCCTTTAGGTAGTGGCAAATCATGATGTGCCTAACGCAGTGCCTGGCATATAATAGAAGCTCCATCAATATTTGTTGAGGGAATAAATAGGTAAATGGAATGTTATGAGCCTTGCTATTGTTATTGTCTTGGCGTGAAATATGCAAGAATAGACTTGAGGCAATCAAGTAATTTCCCTTAACAGGACAAGCTAATTATTTGAGATGAAGATCTGGTGCATAGTATTTATTTGTCAGGCTCCCTTTGCTCCTAATTAAAGGTGGAAAACTTGTTTGTAGCATTGGAGGGGTAACACAGTGACCCACTACTAAGGCGCTTTTCAATTTTCCATACGATTTTTCCAGGGAAAAGGTATCAAGAGAAAGTGAAGGCACATTCCTTTTGTTTCTTCACGTTTTATTTTTTTCTGTTATCATTTTTGGGAGGGCAGGCTGGGTATGGAGCCTGAAGCTCTTTTGATAGTACTTCTACTGCCTGTCTGCCTCCATGACTTCTGTAGTCTTTTTTGCTGGCTTTGGCTGACCGATGAAATCCTCCTCCCAGACAGATAGAACCTGCAGTGATCCAAGATGAAAATGCTGCATCCTCATGAGCCTCAGAAGTTTCTTTCATTCATTCATTCATTCATTCATCTGTACATTCATTCCAAAAATATGAATATAGTGCCTGCCATGTACCAGGCTCTGTGCTAAAGCTGTAACTTTAACAACTGAGCAAAATCCAACGTGGTTCCTGCTCTCTGGAAGCTTACGGTCTGGAATGGTTGATGGATATGAATTGAATAATCATATTAAAAATCATAACCTCAAACTGAATTAAGAAGAGGAATATGGCCCTACTGGGACCATGCAATAACAGGAATTGATTTTGACAGGAGACCAGGGAGAATTTTACTAAGGAGGAGCCAAGAGCTAAGAGCTATAAAATGTCTGAAGAGGGGCGCCTGAGTGGCACAGTCGGTTGAGTGTCCCATCTTGGTTTTGGCTCAGGTCGTATTCTTATGGGTTGGGGGACGGAGCTCCGCATGAGGCTCTGGGCTGGGCAGGTGGGGAGTCTTCTTGAAGATTCTCTCCCTCTACCCCTCCCCCCACTCACGGGCACTCTCTCACTTTCTCCCTCTCTAAAATAAATAAATAAATCTTTTTAAAAATAAAAATAACATGTCTGAAGAAAGGGAAAGAGCATTTCAGGCAAGAAGACTATCAAATGCAAAGGCCTGTGGAGCCTGCGTGGGAAGAGCAAGGGCTGATGGGAAGACAGGGCCACACCCCTCAGTGTCTATGCATAAGCCATAACATCCTCTGAACATTAGAAAGACCAAAGGGTCATAAACCCAAGGGTGAGGAGGAAGTGGGAACGGGAAGAAGGGACACATGTACTTTATCAAATTGATGGGGGAAGGCGGGAGGGGGGAATACAAGTATCCATTCTTCACAAGTGTAACAAAGGAGGTGATCATGGTAAGCCCAGGATCCTTTGCTGCACCAGAGCTTCCTGGAAATTCTTACATTCACACTTCTGTCTGCCAAGTTTCAGAAAGAGTTTATCTGGGTCTTCACTGTGTGCTAAGTAATCATGCGCTGGACCATGCAGCAATGGCTTCTTGTCTTATCATTTTATTGTAGACCTGTCTCTTCTTTAAGCCTTTCTTTTGATGATAAGGAGGTGGCATAACATAGTTTATAACTGTTTTTGGCAAGTGTGTATGGTATGCCTTCCGGCACCTTCTTTCTTGGTTTAGAGAACAAACTGTGGAGGTAGCATGCCTCTACACCTCTCCAGTGGTGTGTGAGCTTGAGCAGGTGGCTTAGCCTCTCTTTTAGCCTCACAGGATTGTTCTAAGGATTAGGTGAGACTGAGGAATGGTGTGCAGTGAGTACTCAAGTAATGCCAGCCATTGTTATTAGCTAGTTCCACTCATATAGAAAGGTGTCGAAGATATACTGTTAAGGAGGACAAAGGCAAGTTACTTGGGGGAGTGGAGCTGAGCGGGAAAAGGGTAGGCAGGTGGCTTTTAGTCTTTCACCCCATATTCTTGTAGTAGTTGATTTTTTTTACTACATAGCTGTATGTTTTCATAATAATGAAACTACAAAGAATAGTTGAGAAAGTTTATCAGTACTACCCAATTGCAAAAAACAGTGATTTCAATATAATCTTTTTCATAATTTTCTTCACCCTTAAGTTTGGAGATGGCATTTGGAAACTTTTCTTGGGATAAAGAAACATGTATCTAAAGTCCAGCAATTCATTTTATTTTATTTTTTACTTCTTTTGCTTATGTTATATTCAAATAATCTTTAAGTTTCATGCTATTATTATCCCACTGTGATGAAATTATTCTACTTGTTCGTCCACCTCTTTCCCAGGGATTCAGGAAGCTTAACTTCTTCGGGATTACTATGAGGAAGGTCAGTAGCTGATACTCATGAAAGAGGAAGCAAGTAGGCTTAATGGTCACTGAATCTGGATGTAGGAAATGTTTTCAATGATTATCTAATCTTAGGATAGAGTCTGTCACATATCCCCCTCCTTTTTATTTTATTTTTCTTTTACAAGTGGAGGTTCTTAGGCGCCTGAGTGGCTTAGTCCTTTAAGCATCTGCCTTCAGCTCAGGTCATGATCCCAGGGTCCTGGGATCGAGTTCCGCTTTGGGCTCCCTCCTCAGCGGGGAGCCTGCTTCTCTCTCTACTCCCCGCTTCTGCTTTCTCTGTTGCTATCTCTACCTCTCCTCTCAAGTAAATAAATAAAATCTTTTAAAAAAAAAGTGGAGGTTCTTTGTGTTTAATTAAAGATTTTGATGAATTCAGTTGGTATTTATCAATAGCTTACTCCACCCAGTCGAGAGTAATTAATATTGTACAGGGCTGGAACATGGTTGCTTTGACCCTCATTTAAATACAACTCTTCCTTTTTGCAGTGACCGCACATCACTGTCATTAATCAGATAATAAAAATCAGGAGAGAATTTTGAGTCCCCTAGCAAATACTTCATGGAGCCTGTGTGAGCTTGCCAACCAGACTATCATCACTGCCGAAGATACGTTTCCAAGGAATAACTGTATTATACAGTACTTAGCACATTGTGCCCCTCAGGATATGATGATAATTGCCTGTGTACAAGAAAAGGCAATTTTGAAGAAACTGTGACTAAGTTGATTACCAACTGATTCTTTAAATCGGGGCCAGCAAACCATGGCCCATGGGCCAAATTTGGCCCCCTGCCTAATTTTGCACAGCGCACAAGCTAAAAATGGTTTTTACATTTTTAAATGATGAAAAATCTAAAGTAGAATAGCATTTCATGTCATGTGAAAATTATACGGAATTCAAACTTCCTGTTCCTGAATAAAGTTGTGTTAGAACCCAGCATGCTCATTGATTTGTACACTGTCTACAGCTGCTTTTGCCCCAAAAGAGCAGAATTCAGTAGTTGTGACAGAGAGCACAAGGCGTGCAGTAGTAAAAATATTTACTATCTGACTTTTTATAGACAAGTTTGCTGATCCCTGCTTTAGATTCAGGTAGAAGTTATTTGTGTGCACGTCTATGTGCTTGTTAATGGATAATTCTTTTGTGTTAGAAATATGCCCGGTGATACGGCCATCAAAGAAGCTGTAGAATGCAATCCTCCAAATCTTTCCACGTCCCTCACTTCCTTCCCCAAATCAGAAGAAAGTTATTGCGTGAGAAAAATTAGGTTATCAGGAGGGACAATGAGAAATATCATGATAACAAATGGAGAAGACCTACCTACTGCCTCCGAAAGTTATAGATCATGAATCTAATTTGAAGTCCTAAAATAACATCAATACTATTCCTGTACCCTGAAATTTGAAGTTATTTCCTCTTTGTATTTGAGAAGTCTTTTGAGAGGAAGAAATCTTTTATTCTTGTGAGCCTTACAAAACACAGTGCTGTATCAGATGAGCCCTTTGTTCAGTGACATTATTGTGTTGGTTTTTACTTACATTCAGCTGCCAATAGGATATGATGAATAATCGATAGTAGGAAATTAGTAGAAAATACGTTTTAGTAGACTGTCTAAATCTTGACAGGGTATCCTGCTCATCTGCCGTGACGGTTGAATTAACATTTCCAGCTGACATTGACCCTCCTGCCTACCAAGATATATATGGAAATTTGAAAATAATATAAAAGTCATACTGCCAACCAATAAACAACTACTAGCAGTAGTACCATGACATAGAATTGAAAATATGAGTCCTTTTGATTCAAAATCCCTCTTCTGTACACGACTGACCTCAGTTGTCCCCTCTTGTTTTGTTCTGTTTCAGAGGTTGAAGGCCGCGTTGACTCACCACCCAGCTGCCATGTCAAATGGGAATATGAACACCATGGGACACATGATGGAAATGATGGGCTCCCGGCAGGACCAGACGCCACACCACCACATGCACTCACACCCGCATCAGCACCAGACACTGCCAGCCCATCACCCGTACCCACACCAGCACCAGCACCCAGCACACCATCCTCACCCTCAACCCCATCACCAGCAGAACCACCCACATCATCACTCCCACTCCCACCTTCACGCACACCCTGCACATCACCAGACCTCGCCACACCCACCCCTGCACTCCGGCAACCAAGCACAGGTAGACCCTTTTATGATCTCTTTCCCCCTTGTTGTTATCAGTGCGAGCTCTAATGCGGGGTTCATTGGCAGCAACCTGGTTTGATGAGCTTGGGTGTTCTGTCTCACTCTTGGGGGAGCTCTGTTCTTTCTTAGGAAGTAATGACATCCTGTAAGACCCTTCCAGATCCTAGTTTCTAGAAATAATATTGTCGATATCAGGTCTAGTCTCTGGGGGCAAATGTAAACTTCAAGTTCTCCGAAATCTGTTTTTTTTGCAGTGTGTTACAAAGGTAACTCTAAAAAAGTCATACTGATGGGAGGATTAGGAAGAATTGAAGCATCTGAAGAAAGATGTGAATAAAGAATGAGAAAAATAAGTTAATTCTAGCCATGGTTTTAACTGCAGTGCTTTATAACATAGAGACTCAATTTTGGCACCTGTAAAATGGAAGTTAAATACAATGGGCAGTCTTCTGAATAACACTAAATGCTAAAAAGCTAAAGAATAACAGTTCCAGGCAGACAAAGGAGTTCAGTAATGGATGATAGGGCATAAGGTGCTGTGTAAATGAGGAAGAGAAGTGACTCATGCCACCTAGTGTGAAATGCGTTGGAGGGAGCAGAGAGCCAAGCTCTGTAGATGGTTGGTTCTAGAGAAAGGCCAAATCCCAGGGGTGGAGAGTCACCAGAAGTGGCTAGAAAGAAAGCCAGCATTTAGACACAACTGAAGGAGGGTTGGGGGACCAGGCAGACGTTATGTCACCCAGCTCAAGAAGAGAGGCGGGTCCGTGTACCCGAGTAAGTTTTAGTAAGTGGATGAAGGGCATGTCTAGGAGCATGGCTAGCCCTAGACACTTTGGATCTTCAAGCAGGATGACCTTTGTCAGTCCCCTCCACCCATTCCACACTGCCAGGTTCCAACCAGTTGGGTCAGAGTGGTGTTGGGAGCTTGGAATCGCCAAATAACACTTATTCACCATCTCCTCCATCATCTGCCTCCAGACCCCACCCAAGGCAGTTTGGGAGCTTTAGAAGCCTCTCCTCTAACACACACCAAACTTGGACGGCCATCCACAAAATGGGTCATTCACAAGCAACTCTCTGATCTGTTCAATAGATAAGCTTATTCATTAGGTCAGCTTACTTTTGCAAAGGTACTTAGGGGAATTCTATATAGCAAGTAAGAGTGCAGGCTTTAGAGTGAGAAACCTGTCAATTCTTTTCCCACATTCTTTCACTTGCTGTGTGACTGTGGTCAGTCAGCTAAACTCCCTAAGCCTCAGTCATCCCATCTGCAAAATGGGGTAATAATAGACAAAACTCATCGACTTTTAGGAGTGTTAAAGAGAATGTCTGTAAAGCCCTTGGCACAGGAATCAGTACATGTTAGCCATGATTAATTCCAAACTGAAGTAACATGATAGACGTTTAGCAAGTAGTTCAGCAATAAAATGACGTCCAAAGCACCTTTTTAGTCAAACGCCATAGTAGGACATGGAGACAGTTAGAAGGGACAAAGAAAACTAGAAGTGAAAAACAGGCAAATAAATTCGCGTGTGTACTTATTTTTTTAAGGAAAAGGATAGCATCGAGTTTTAGTTGCCTTGTCAGCTTAGTTACTTCACGGACAAGTTTAACCGTTAGTTGAATATAAAAGCCATTCATTAGCTAATTACCAATTAGCCAATTGCCCTCCATTTAAAGTCAGTAAGTGGCCAATTGTATATGCAATTAGTTAATTGCATTATAATTAGCTGCACAAACAGTTGCTTTTTAATCCCATACTAAAGGGAAAGAGTACAGGTTGTTCTTGTTAAAATTTGAACAAGATCATTCAGACAATACTCAAAATGCCACTCTTAAATTATGTGAACTTGGCTGATTACTGAGATCTTGTCATATTGCTTAAGCATACGATGATTAGAACATTAGGAACAGAAGTTTATTAAGGCCCTCCCAACTGTGAGATTCTAATATGACTTGGAATAAATTTGTCTTTATGAAATAACAATTCATTATATTTTTATCAAAAGCTTCAGAGCATCTATGCCAACAGAATTCTATTTTAAAAATAAAATAAGTAACAATAATTACCAGGGACATAAATTCTGGTCTTAGGGTTGCATTTGCACTTTCTCCTGGCTTCTTAGGATTCTCTTGCATGTAAGGATGTGATTTCGGAGTCCTGGTGTCATTCTTCAATCACTAGGAATTTCTCTTATCCAAACTACACTTTGAACCCTGAACCTGGACTGAACCTGAAACCACAACATAACTTACCCCCTTGGGAAAAGGCACAGAAGTGTCAGAGATAAAGGTTGGTTGAAGTTGGGGTGGGAGAATACAGTATCAAATGCAAGGTCTTGGCAATGGAGATTCAAACCCAGTTTTGCGTACTTGAGAATCTTATCCAGACATCACAAATTCTCAAAAAGAAATGGTACAGGCAAAAATGGCCAAGTTTGCAGTTTCCTTCCTAATGCTTTGCTTTGAGGTAGTTAGCTCAGCAGCTAGCATCTGAGATGACAAGTGCTAAACCTTTGCCAGTAACAAGGATTATATCTTCACCAGCCACTCTGGTGAGACCTTCGACAATTAATACATTTTGTTATTTCTCTGTGATTGGGAGGAAAGGAATCACCAATAAGCAGTTTTAGAAAATGTCTCTGGTTTAAATAAAATTGCCAAGATGCAGTCCAACTTCAGTCCTGAGCCTGATTCTTCTACAGTGAGTCATATTAGCTTTGATAGAGTTTAGGATTAAAATATATCACTTTCAGTCAGCCAGCGTCAACCAGTAGCCATTATTAGTGCAATTACAGTCATTCTGATTGATTTCAATCATAGAATTGGAATGTGGTAGGAAAGGTAGCTGCACTTTCTTTTAAACACTTTTTTTGCCTGTTATTTCTGTAGGTTAAATGTCTCTTGTAAAACAGCTTTATAGATATTATAGCCATAAGCCTGAGTGACTGAGAAATGAGAAGGAAAAAAAAAATACCCTTTATTGAGAGTGAAGAAAGGGGGAAGGAGTGCAGTGCATTAGGGAAAGCATTAGGTGTCCAGACACATAAAGAGTCAGTCTTGGAAATTTCACTCAGTGCTGTGTGTCTGCCTCATGGAGGGAAATAAAGCTGTGTGGGCAGGAGTCTCCAAAACTTTAGGCACTGCTGAGCCCCTTGCAGCTCTTAGAAGGAATCTGTAAGTATAGTAACACTTTTTGATGAAGTGCTTTGCCACACCTAGGGTTTCCTTACAATGTAAATATCTGGTGATTCCCAGCCACCCCTCCCTGTAGCACAGACAGGTGTATTATGGGGCTCAGGGTTGCTCTGGGCATCCATTGCATAGGCCCTGCTACCAGCCACCTGGAAAGGCCTGTCTCTGGCAGATTTCCAAGGAGCAGATGGACCCATCTGGAATTTGCCGGTCCAGCTAGGCCCTTTGCATTAAGAACTCTGAAATGGCAAAAATAGGATTTCAAGCTGCTTTCTGGGCTTCAGAGGGTTCTTTTGGTAGGAGTCACAGTGGTGATGATGTCCCAGAAGTGTGTTCTAGGAACATGGTTTTAACACCAGGAAAACGAAAGTTCAAAACCTGCCCAGAAGGAGTTTTCTACAGATGACAGAAGACTCGTCAATATTGTGACAATAGCCCTGATCTCTGTTGTCACCTGTAGCCCTGCATTGGCACGTTAAACCTTTATAAAACGCACTTAAATAAAACATGTTTAACATCTGAAGGAGAAAAAAAAAAATATTTCCTCTGCCATAATTCAGCCAAATGCCTGTCAGGGAAAAATCTGTTTGACTCTGTTTCACAAGTCGTTTCTGTGTCTTGCCAAAGTATCACAGAAGATAGTTCGGCAGTGCTTTTTCTTTTCATGAGCATGATTTCACTGTTGACTTCGTTCTTAGAAAACGAGTTCGATCTGCTTACTAAAGCAATCAGCTCTCTGTGCTTTGTGTTCCAACACCAGCTTGGGTTTCCTCTCTCACCCAGCACGTTCCTTCTCTGTCCCCATCACCCCCCTCCCTCTCGTGCCCCACAGGTCTCACCAGCGACACAACAGATGCAGCCAACCCAGACAATACAGCCACCCCAGCCCACAGGGGGGCGCCGGCGAAGGGTGGTGGACGAGGATCCCGATGAGAGGCGGAGGAAATTTCTGGAACGGAACCGGGCAGCTGCCACCCGCTGCAGACAGAAGAGGAAGGTCTGGGTGATGTCACTGGAAAAGAAAGCAGAAGAACTCACCCAGACAAACATGCAGCTTCAGGTGCAGGCCGCTGTCTCTTTCCTCAGGACTCAAAGGCCCTGTGTACGGTTGGCATTTCCTGCCCCCAGCAGGCACTTGTTGACCTAAACAGTAATACCGCACATTTGCCCACAGAGCAACTGCATGCAGGCTTACTCCCCAAGTTTTATTCGCTCCGGGACACTGCACAAAACAAAATAAGCATTCATTTTTAAATCAACCTGCCTACAAAGCTCTGAGAAGGGAGAACCTGCCCAACTGAGTTATAGGGCCATGAGTACAGGTTTGGTCAGATGGAGGTTCACACTCTTGTTCAGCAATTCGTTGTGTTTAACCTGGCCCTCAGTTTCCTCATCTATAAAATGGGAATAATAACCTCAGAGAGTCGCTGGGAGTCATAAGTGAACTAATGTCTACAAAGCAGTTTCTCCGGTACCTAGCACATAATAAATCTTCAGCCCAACCGTAGCTCTTTATATTCACCAGGGAGGGGGTTGCTTTGCCTTCCACCAGATTACCTCTGGTTTGGTTTAATGGAGGAAAGGAACGTTTATGGTTATTATTTTGCTCTAGAAGAAAAGACATTATTCCCATCTCGTTTTCAAACTCAACAAGATTTGAATCTTGTGGGATTTTTCCCTTTCATGGGTGGCTCAACAGGGGACATTTTTCTAACAAGGCCCCTTCGGGGTGCATTTGAGAGAAGGGGAGAAAAGTCTAGTACCAGGGCCGCTCCAGCAGACTTCATGCTATACAAATGATGCATTCAGGGAATCTGTTCTCACACGATAAGGAATGCCCTCTCCACCAGCAAAAAAAGAGCAACTAAATCGATTACATGACAAGTATGCAGCGAGAGCAGTAAGAGTTAGGGATTGTAGCCCGGTGCTTCTAGGAGCAGAGAGAAAGGCTGAAGAGTGGAGGGAAGGGGGAAAAGATTGCCCCAAATAGGGAGGATCTGTACCTTAGTAGTTTGTAGGTTCCCTTCCCCCACCTGGTTCTCTGTGCATCCTTAGAAAGGAACAGTAGGGGTGCCAAACCCCCAAAACTTTTGCATATTCAGTGCATTCAGTGGAAATGCCCTTGGAGCAGCCAATGTATAAATTGCAAATATGTAAAGAAATTTTGGGTTATGCATGGACTGCATATGGATGGTCACATTTCCCCCTAAATTTATCATCCTTTTTGTGATAGACATGAGAAAGAAAATGGGGAACATATATAGCAGATATGGGGGAAATACAGTAAACAGTCCTCCCAGTGGCTTCTAGGTGCATGAAGGTGGGAGCTGTGTCTTATCTTATTGCCTTCTCCCCCTACTCCCCACCCCCTGTTTCTAGTATAGTGTCGAGCTAACCTGCTGAGTCCCTGAGTGTCTACACTCAATATCTGCTTGTTAAATAAATGAATGAGTTCCCTATCTCTGGAGTGTCCAAGCCCTGACTGCCTGCCCACTTGGCCAGGATGTGATTGAAGGGAGTCGAGCCACAGTGGGATGGCTGGATTCTTAACACCTTGAAAGTCACTGCAACTTGAAAATCTGCAGTTCTAGAATCCCTATAGCCACAGTGGTATGTGAGAAGCTTTTAGGTGATGGTAAGCACTTTTAACATTCAGAGTAATCATGTTTTTATGTTTATGTGTATTGAAAAATGTAATTAGAACATCAGGACTTCAATTTCATAGATATTCTTGGTAAGGATGAGGCTAAAATATTAAATAATGAGTTAATTTGTACAAACATGTTAAGTCAATAAAAACTCTGGTGCATGTGGATCTAGCAAATATTACACTGGCTCTGCAATGACTTAAGTGTGGAAATCCCTGGAATTTGCTACCAGTTCTGAGGTTTGCAAGAGGACCATGAAAATGGGCAGGATTTCTCAATCTTGGCACTATTTAATTTGGGCTTGATAATTCTCTATTGTATCCTGTTCATAGTAGATATTTAGTAGTATCTTTGACCTCTACCCACTAAATATGAGTAGTACCCTCTACCCCACTCCCAAGTTGTGACAACCAAAAAGTCTCCACACATTGTCAGATATCCCCTGTGGGGACAAAATCAGCCCTAGTGATTGAGAACCACTGCCTTAAATGAAGGAGCCATGAATAGCCGGCTGGCACATATCAGATGCCAACGAATGTTTAAATCAGTTTTAACTAAAATGAGTCCTTGCAGAAATATTTCAGCGTATCGACTATGGTGCTGGAGCTTGAAAACAGAAAGAGATCATAGCAGAGATCCAGGAAAAGTGGAGATGCTGGTCTACCTTGTGGTCAGATATGTTCATGACTTGGCATATGCCTCCATGTTATTGCTCTAACAAAACACATAAGGTAAATTTACCCTTTACGAGACCCTAATCCATTAATTTCCACCACTCTTTAGAACCATACATGGCTAGGGAAAAAAGATACTAGAATTCTAGCCCCCAAAAATGAGGGGGAAAAATGTTCTATTTGGTTTATCAACAGGCACCAGTATTTTTGGTTGCTAAAGGAGTGCCCAAGGGAAGGAAGGAACAGTCTCTAAAAAGACTAAATTCTTTGTGTTTTCCAACCACTGCTTTGCTTCAGAGAGACAGAAACCACAGCCGTTCCGTGTTTTCAGTGATGCTAAGTGCTCTGCATCATGCCTTGTGATGCTGGAGCGGATATGCAGATTCTGCTACCTTTGAATGACCCTTTCCCTCCTACTGGACCTTTGTCAAAAGAAAAAGGTGTCTCTCTTGAGGCTGGTCCAGTGAGCCAAATTTTAAGTAAACAGCAATGGAAGGTGCTAAGCAAACAAACTCTAGCCAAACGGAATATCCAAGGTCTGGATGGCCAGCTGCCACTTTTGAGTTGTTTTTCAGCTTAGAACCTTTTAGCTGGGCTGCAGAGTTTCAGATTGGAAAAAATCAGACCTAAGAAAACAAAAACTCCCAGACTTCATTTCCTTGTCTCACAACAAATCTGTACCCAAGAGGTCAACACAGGTATAGGAATTGAGGGAAATACTAGAAATCACACGATCTGACATTTTTGTATAGGGAGAAACTGAGGCCAGGGAGACATGAGGAGTCTTCCCGAAAGTCACACAAACAGCACGTAGTAGGAGGAGGACCCAAGCTAGTCTTCTCTTGACCCAACCCACTGCTCTAGGATCTTTCATTGTAGAGAATTCTTAAACTAAAGGAACCCACGTGCTTTTCTCTGACAGAGTAGCTAAGATCAGCTCTGAATTCATCAGCAACTGATGGGATGCTCAGTGGATTGTTTGTGTGCAGCAGACGATATGGAAATCATCTGGTCGCCCATGGAAATAATTGCTTTTTTTTTTTTTTTTTTTTTTTTAGTGCAAAGACACATGGCCTAAGTCGCTGCTGAAATTTTAGACACATGAGCCCAGGTTTGGGACTTGGCAAGAGAATAGGCCAGATGGGAACTGTTGCCTTACAAATTGAAAGTCCTTTGTTGTAGCGTGAACCAAACCTGGCCTCAACTAATCTACAAAAAAGAAAAAAATAAGCGGGGAGGGGCTATCTTGTAGGCCCCATTTTGATAATTATTTTTTTGGCACAGACTACTGCTTGCATCAAAAAGCATTCTGGGTTTATCATATTAACAAAATGACATCCCCAAAGCCAAAAACTGCAAATGTAGCTATTAGGGACTTCTTGGAGTACTTGTTTAAAGTATGTTATTATGGTGTTGAATGTCTCTAGAAGGGCACTACTTCATCCCCCAGACAACCTTATGGGTGAAAGAACAGATTAATTCAACTGCACCTAGCCTCCAACAGTCCCTGTCTCAATGGCTAACTGCTTTAGGGTAGCAAACCCAAACGAGGTTCAAAAAATGAAAAAAATGAAGGGCTGTTTCAACAGGGTAATTCATACCTGATTATTAATACTTGGCTTTTATAAAGTACTTTTATACAAAGACCTAGGACAATTACTATAACCCACGCAGGGGAGTAAAAAAATATTGGTGATTTGCCTCAGTTCATAAAGCAAGGTAATTCAGAGTAAGAAGGTGCCTCCGGAAGGCCTGGTTTTTATTTCCCTACTAGAGCTGCAGGCAACATTTTATTTCTTTCATGCATTTTGAAACATTTGCTATCTGGTGATTCTCTTCCAAAATGAATTCAAGGTGATTCTACTTGTGTTCCCTTCAAAAGGGTTTTTATTTAAAATCTAATCTGGCATCTCCTTTGTCAGTCAGTGTGGGGACTTGAAGATGATTATGCGTGTGCACGGCCCACGGTCCACCCTGCTTTCTCTAGGGCAGTGATTCTCAACCTTCCTTAATCCAAAGCCTCCCTTGTGGAATCTGATGAAGGCTTGACAGGCTCTGTCAACAGTGTGGACCTACACAAGGATGCGAGGTTGTGTGCTAAACCGAAACTGTAGATACAGCTTTGGAATCTGCCCTGATAAGATTTGGAAGCACACAAACTGTGCTCCCTCAGGAAGTGCGAGACTCGAAATATAAGCCTATCTGAGAATACCAAAAGCAGTTAACTAATGAATAAAAAGTAAAGATCAAGTCCTTCATTCGATTATTAGGTAGTTAGCTTTCCCCACAGAAGGCAAAACAGAAACACTCCAAGAATAAACAACTATGTTGCTGGTGGGAACTAGAGAACTAGTCCCACCATCTTGTTTTACGTTAGTTTGATGTGGCAAGTGGGGAGGCCCAACCGTATTATTCTGAAACCCCTGTTGAGAGCTCTTTCTCCTGCTGGAAGCTGCCCCATGAATTTCTGTTGCTTCTGTGGCCGTTAGACTTTGATTTCATCCTTATCAGCATCGTAATTACCTGTGTACGATCTAAACAAGAGGCTGTTTGTTCTTCTTTATGGAGAATATTTATCAGCATTCATTTTCCAACCGTAAGATAACTAACATAATTACTAACACATTACTTTAAGAAATACATCCTTATTCACATATATCTTTCAGGTTCCTACACTTTTACAGACCCTTGAAATCCCAGGTCCTCCGTTCCTATACTTACAATGTATAAAGTGCTTTGCTCTCCATAGACAAAAAGTGCCACCCAAGTCATCTATTTTGTACGGGGCTTTGACACATATGCTGTTCATAGCGGTGATTGGCGCTGTTTTATTGTGGCCTCTCATGGAAGCAAAAGGTTTATTGTGAAACAATTTGGGGTGTGCCAAGTATTGTAGGCAGTTAGCTCCTTGTGATTGTAGAAGCCCAAAGAACGGAATTCAGAGTGTTTTTTTAAGGAAGGGGCTATGAACATTTTGTGCCTAGGAGATTGAACACTGCCTAGAAAAGGTGGGATGGAGCAGGACATAGTTGGGGGAAAAACAGAGACTAAAATCAATCTCTCCAAGATGGCCACCAGGTGGAATTTTTTTTTTTTCTTCTAGAAGTGTAAGAAAGCAAGAGAATCTTGTTTTGTTTTATGTCTTGTTTTGTTTTATTTTCCTTATTTGTTGTTTCCTAGGTCACAGAAGAAAAGTATGGGAGGATTTAGTAAAAATTGGAGCTTGACTCCATTTTCTAAGAAAGAGTGTCTGCATTATCTGCAGCTAAACTTAGGGTGCAGGTGTCTTGACGGTTGTGATTTTAGAAAAGTGCTGTATCTATAATCCAAATGCAAATAATATGGCATTTCATTTTGAGGCCAAATATATGTATATATTAGTTTTATATATTAGTTTTATATACTAGTTTATATATTATATATATAATTAGTTTTATATATTATATATTTTTTCTTTTTCTTTTTCTCCATTTTCATTTTGTTTTTGTTTGTTTTGTTTTAGAGATTTATTTGCCAGAGAGAAAAAGAGAGAGAGAGAGAAAAGCAGGGGGGCGCGGCAGGCAGAGGGAGAAGCAGGCTCCCTGCCGAGCAGGGAGCCCTATGCAGGACTCAATCCCAGGACCCCGGGATCATGACCTGAGCCAAAGGCAGACACTTAACCGACTGAGCCACCCAGACATCCCTGTTTTGTTTTTTAACCAGGGGTTGCCTTCTATTTAACAGACTAAAAGTAACTTTCTTTTACACATGCCATTTTAAGCAAAGGGCATCTGGGAAAAGCACGGAAGGCTGTCTGAATTTAAATGGGCATAAAATCAAAGAGGAAAGAATTAGTATTTAAGGCTACAGTAAGTTGTCCTAAAAATAAAGTTGTCCCACTGACCCCAGAATTGACAGGGGTCAATTTTGGTTTTGATAGGGCCCCTTACCAATCACACTCCTTTGGAGGTGGGAGATGCAATTCATCCTCCTGAATGTTTTCAGATTAAGAGCAATTAAGTGATTTATTTGTCCTATTAATGCTAATTTCTCAGATAGGCGTTTTTATTTTGTAAAATTTGGAGAAGAGAAAAGCTTTTGTAGGTGAGATTCTTACTATTTTGTTATTTATGTTACTCACCATTTGATTACTTATATTTTGCAAATGAATTTGGAAATGCGAGGTATTCCTTAAAACAAGTTTCAAAAAAAAATGTTTTTAAATTAACTTTTAGAATCCCAAACTTAGTTTTTTAGGTGATGAATACATGCCTGAAAAGCCAAGTTCATAATGAAAGTGTAGATACAACTTAATGACAGCAATGTTAAAACACGCTTTTCTGTGTGCATATTTTTTTAAAGGCTCCCACATGTGGAGTACAATGCCTGGCAGCCACGAATGAACATTGGCCAGAGAGAGGGTATTATTTATCACAACTATAAAATGGCTTGTTTGAGATGGTGCTGTGTTTACAGTTTACTTTTATCAAGTGGAAGCACCTTAGAACCAACCAATCTATTCTTCATTTATATTTGTAGACAGTGGTGCCAAGTACATTATTCTACAAAGCTATGAATTGGTCTTTGTGAATTACCACATAAAGTGGAGATTCGAGGCACTTATCTAAGTAAATAAGAAACACACACACACACAGGGAGCACCTGGGTGGCTCAAATGGTTGAGCGTCTGCCTTCTGCTCAGGTCGTGGTCCCGGGGTCCTGGGATCGAGTCCCACATCAGGCTCCTGACTCAGCGGGGAGCCTGCTTCTCCCTCTCCCTCTGCCTCTCCCCCTGCTCATGTACTCTCTCTCTCTCTCTCTCTCTCAAGTGAATAAATCAAATCTTTAAAAAAAAAAAAGAAACACACACACATGCAATCCACAACACCCTGATTATTGATGGCAGGAAGAGTTTATAGACTGAAATTAGCCAAACTAGTTAGTGAACCAATCAAATTAATTTAATTGTAGCCAAAACTTCAATGCCCCTCGCCTTCCTGGGCGGACCTCATCCCACTAGTAGAGAATCAACATTTGTGCCATGTGCTTTGATGCCTTCTGCTAAGCAGACGTCAGGCAGGGATGCGCTCTGTGGAACTATAGCCCATTTGGCAATTCTTTTGAGAAATCTGATGGTAGATCGGTTGGCTTATTCTGAGGACATTTCAGTTTGAAGCCACTAATTCTGCCATTCAGTTCTTCTCAATGCATGTGCAACATTCACTTTCTTCACAGATTGTACATGAACCTGAGCTTATCAGTGTGAAGGTGATTATTATGAATACCTAAATTCAGTGGTTGCTCAGTATGTGCCAGGCAGTATTCTCAGAGTTTTACATCTATTGCCTCATTCAGTCCTCACAACAACTCAAAGAACTTTATTCCGATTTGATCCCCAATTATAAACAAGGTCGCTAAAGTTTAAGCTGGCTTATGTTTCCTGCCTAGAGTCACCCAGTAAGTGTAAAGTGGAGATTCCCACCCAAGACACCTGGCTCCAGAGTCCACTACCTAAAGGCTGTGCTCTGGACTTTTAATAGGCTTCAGCTCTTGAGTTAAAAACTTGGTCTTTTCAAAAAGTCCCTGGTAAATGTGAGGACCAAGTTAAAGGCAAGCTACACATTTTCAGGTGAATCCCATTAAATATTACCCTTAATGTCATTCAGACACAACAGAAAAGTTTGCCAATATCACCATTGAAAGTGCATGGGGACTTACACTCTCTGGTCTTTTCAACACGGCTTTGATGTGTCTCCTTCCAGAATGAAGTGTCCATGTTGAAAAATGAGGTGGCACAGCTGAAACAGTTGTTGTTAACGCATAAAGACTGTCCAATAACAGCCATGCAGAAAGAATCACAAGGATATCTAAGTAAGTCGTTGACTTTTTTCTTTTCTTAGTGTCCAGTTTTGTTTTGTTTTGCCACTAATTTTGCATTGGATTTTACTGAACGAGCAAAAGTAAAGTGTAGATTGCACACCCCAGCAGATATCATAGTAGAATTCTTCGGTGGCTGCCAGACTATTGCACCAGAGGGATCCCTCTTTTCTGACCCCATCCCCATGCCCACCACCTCCCGATAATTTCTGACTAGACTTTCCCTGGCATTTCACATTGTAAAATCCTACCGAATCCCAATTCCACAGCCAGTAGGAAAATAGCTTGTGGGAGCCCAACTACCAGTGGGCTAGCTGCCTTCCAGAGAAATCAGTGGGCTGGGGTAGAGGCATTGGGTGAATCACATCCAATACCTTCAGGTATGCTGCCTTTTATTCACTGGGCTGAAAAGCTCGTGACCTCATCTTAGTTTTCCAATAAGTAAAGTGAATCCCTTTCTCTAGCCCCAGTTTCTGCATCTAGAATGTCCATAAGTTAAATGCTAGCTGAGTGGGGGATGGTGGGAGGAGCAGGGATTCATGGCTGAAGGTCAATTTATTTTCAAATAATTTTTTAGATTGAGCAACACAGATTCTCCCACCACATGTGAGTATTTTTCCACATTTGATATATGGATGGCTATTTGAAGATACAAACATGGGGAAGTTCACATACCAAGACTCGAGAACACATGAAATCATGTGGCTGGTATAGAAAGCATGGCTTTGCTTGTAGCTATAAAGTGGGAAGGCATAGCTTTTGACTACAGTTTAAAACAAAGTTTTGAAATTAACGTCCAGGAGCAAATGTATGAAACTCTTCTATTTCTAGTAAACACGTAGTAATGTTTCCCTGAGAAGCCCCCAGGTCCACCCGAGAAGAGCTATATTGGTGTGTGTGTGTGTGTGTGCTTTCTCCTAGGTCCGGAGAGCAGCCCTCCTGCCAGCCCCGTCCCAGCTTGCTCTCAGCAGCAGGTCATCCAACATAATACCATCACCACTTCCTCCGCAGTGAGCGAGGTGGTGGGAAGCTCCACCCTCAGTCAGCTTACCACTCACAGAACAGACCTGAATCCCATCCTTTAAAATCCGCCGGTGGGTCAGACCTTGCCTCCAAGAAGAGCTGTCGCATATCATGCGTCCTTTCTTTTAAGGGCATTTTTAGAATTAACTCAGACCTGGAAGACTCCTCAGCCCTTCAGAGACTGGCTTTCATTTTTATAGTTATTATGGAAATGTCGTCTTTTATACTTAGTTATATAAGAAAAAAAGGGAGTTATGCAATTAATTAATCTATCAGCTTGGGAAATGCTTTGGTGCTTTTCTCCAATTTTCTGGTACCAGTTAACTTGTTTATAAACTGAACTCTTTCTGTATATAGACACAGTTTCATTCTTACCAGTCCAGCCCTTTGCCTGAAACATTGACTCTTGTTAAACCGCCGCTTTTAGCCAAAATGAGGCATACCTAGATGTCACGTAAACAGATGCGAGGTAACTGGGTGGTGAGTCTGATGACACCGTAACACACGTTGAGTTTGAGCTGTGATGTCGCCAGAGTTCCAGATAAACACAGAGCCTTTTCCATATATTTTTCTCTTCCTAAAAAAATTATAAGATCTGCTGACGTCCAAATAAAACCACCGAGCATCTCGCCCCTTCTCCTCTTCCTCTTGGTCCACTTCCTCAAATTGTCCTCTAATTTCCTCCAGTCTTCCTTTCCATTGCCACTTTTTCCTAGGCTCCCTGTGTACTCTTCATTTTTACTTTCTTCCGTTTTATTTTTCCCCCTTTAGCATTGCGGGTAAAGAAGAAAATAATGCTTAAAGGAAAAAGAAAAGAAATCTCAAAAATATGGATCTAGCCATTGCTTTTCTTGCCTGTAACCCACAGCTGGAGTTCATTCACCTCTTGCTCTTTACAAAATGGTAAGCAGGAGATGTTTAATGTGCCTGATTTAAGGTTTCTAATAATCAGAGCAAATAAAAGGTGGCTTAGCCGTAGGTGAGGCACCGTTGAAAGCCAGCTGTGGAGACACCAGGGAAGGGAGCCTTGGAAGCCTCGATTGTGAAGGTCCAGATTATGCGGGCTATCACACCACACCCTCGAATTACAACTGGTTTTATATGGCCTGTCTATAAGGTTGAAAATCCATATACTATATAATAATTCAGAAGGGCTCTATTCACTACACAGATTACATTGTTCAATCATCAGCTGCTAATAGACTAAGATTCATTATTTTTTTTCTTAAGCCTATGGAACTGGCTTTGCTGTTCTGGTGGATGAAAGTAGACACACCACTGGAGGAACAAAGAGAGAAAGAAAACCTAATGTTTCCATAGGGGTGCTTTCAGCCCTCCCAGAACAGCCAAAGCCTTCTTTGGCTGCTGAAAGAATCCCATGGATGTGGCTACTCCACTCTTCTGAATAATTCTGATTTATATTTCCAACAACTTTCATCGATTCGCCCATTATGGAAAGCATATAGTCCCGAACCACAGTTGTGCCTCCTTGAAACAAGCCATTCTACTGTGCTAATGTTTTAATATCACATCTCGCAAGTAACAGGGGCTAATGTTTCCCTCTAGCAGTCTAGACAGGTGCTGGTGTTTCATCTCCATTTGAATGCTTGACCTCCTAACATGAGTGTGTGTGTGTGTGTGTGTGTGTGCACGCATGCACGCACACACACGCACACACATTCATGGGATTTAAAATAATAGTATTTTACAAAAGGTGTAGCTTTTATAAGAGTTCAAGAAAGGGAAAGACATGTATGGGTGTGTGTCTATGTGTTTATCTCTCACTATAGCATAAGAATCTATTTTGGAGAAAAAAGAAAATATGAGGGTCGTGAAGCATGATTTTTATAACTAGTTTCAGTTTTATCTAAAAAGTTACTTTTTAAATCAGTATTTATCAACAGTTTTTTTTTTAAATGTATGCAGTGCTTTCAAAAAAAAGTTTTGAGTTTCCAGGGAAACTCATGACTGGCTTTGTGGTCTAGAAATCAAAACAAAAACAAAAACAAAACAAACACACACACACAAACAAAAAAACAAAAAAAATTTAAAAAAAGAAAAGAGAAAAAAAGAAAAATGCAAAGGATTTTCTATTATATTTTAGACAAACATCTTTTTTTAAGTATTTTAAACACTGAATTCATAGTTGTTTTGTTTTGCATCCCAGCAGTAACAGCTGAATGGTTGAACCTAACTGGCTTCCTAAGAAATATTTAAGATATATCTGTATTCTGATATTAAATTTAATTTTTTTCAAAACTCCTTTCCAGGACCACATATGCGTCTCTCTAAAAAAAAAAAAAAAAAAGAAAGAGCTCGTTGAAATGTTTGCTTGGGTTTTAAATTTTTTTATGTTTTTCTTATTTTTTGCTTTAAGTAAACAAAAACTTTTCTTTCTTTACTGCATGCATAGCACTTAATGAAATGGATTTTTAAAAAATCCACTAGTAATATCAGAATATCCAGGGAGTGGGCTGTCACTAAAATTATGGTTTACTTCTGTTCCACCTCTTGATTGAATATTTAGTTGTTAAACTGAAAGCCTCTGTAGTGAAGAACTTGCCTGAGTTTTCTTAATTCAGCAACTTGACAGTTTGACTGATGTGCATTATATAGAGCTCAATTATGTCTGTTTTTTATGCTAAGTAGGCAAACCAACCACACACACACACACACACACACACACACACACGTTAGCAAATGGCCCTCAACATATAATTAGAATAAACTGTCTTCTTGTTATACTTAGAGCCTTTAGGTATGTTCATTAGCAGCGTGGCAATACAGTAAAATGGAAGGCGCCAGCTCGTTGTCAGAGCGTCTTGAAACCCTGAACAGAAAGGCTCGTTGGTCAAATCCAACACTCGGCTTATCAGTATTAAGTACTTCACTGGAAGGTTCAGCCTTCACCAGACCGTGGAACAATCAGTCTGCCTGAAAACCCCTCCGTGCCCTCCATTTTTTACCAATCTGGGAAAACATCTTTTTTCTGCCCCCTTCTCCTCTCCCACTCAGTTCCTGGGTCATCCACCTACATCTTCACGGATCCATTGTAATGACCTTCAGAGCACCCATCCTGAGGAGGGACGGGCCCTGCAACATGCCTCTCATTCATGTGTGGGTTTTTTTTATCGGCAGCATCTGCCTTTGAAGTCACTGTCAGCCTACCTGGAAGTTTCTACAGTGCTTCCCCTGTCTTATGTGATGGGACTTGACTTAGGTAGGTACCCCTAATGGCATTTCTACCAGCTGATCCTAAATTGAGGCATCCACATCGTATTTCTTCTTAAAAGACATTTCCCAAAATATGATGCCAGGACAGGTGGAGTAAATCCTAGCCACGGATGAACGTACTCATTTTAAAGCCTGTGTTAAGCTGATGTTTTCCCTTTACACCCCCACTCATCCCTCCCCACGTCCACATCAGTGTGTGCAAGTCCCAGTGTTCACGCCGCCTGTGGGGGACAGCAGTTTGTGCGGTGTCACTGAATGAACTGTGATAATTAGGATGACTTACTTGGAGTAAAAGCTCTCTGGAGCCTGTCGGGTCAAAGAACTCAAATGCAGTGCCATGTTCTGAACAGAGGGGCATCAGTGGTGAATGTTCAGGTGGTTTTGTTGCCTGTTACATAAATTTTGGTGTGTCAGTTGAGTTTGCCATCAAACAGCTGCGGTGAAAGACCAGCCCCTGGCTGGGGAGTTTTAAGCATCAGTAACTGCTATCAAACTAGCCATCCAGTTAGGATAGAATGTGCTTCTTTCTGGTTAATAAAAACCATCTAAGAAAATATATATGTATGTATGTGTGTATACAGTGGAATTCAAGGACCAAAGCAAAATTTGAACAGGAATCTATTAATTTAGAATTTTATAAGATATTTATTAATAAATGTTATTTTAAAACATTCCATTTGAACAGTATTCTTCTGTAGGATCTACTTGTTTTTAAAGTATTAGTTCATAATAAACTACTCTAGTTGTGTATATCTTCATTTTTCAGGGTTTCAAATGGCTATTCTCCATCATTTGGTGGAAATGTTTTGCTTAGATCTCTGTGCATAGAAATTTCAAGGATTTTTATTGCTCTGTGAGTTATTTTTTAATCTATGTTCTGAACGGTTTTTTTAAACATTTATTTCTTCTTCCTTTTTTTTTTTTAATTTTTAAAGTAAGCTCTTTCCTTTAGGAAGCAGAGTTCAGCTAAAGGGAATCAGTAACTATAACTGGAACAGCTTTCTTTAAAAGTGTAGAAACAACTTCATCTCTGCTTCTCTCCACCCCACCCCAATTTCCTAGAATGCCTTGCACTATTCAGCTTCCTTAGTGCTCTTTTTTCCCCTTCCCAAACAATGTGCTGTAGCTTTAAGCCATTCAAGGTCCATTATGCAGTATATCTGAGAAGGAAAAGGAAACAACCCATTTAAATTTGAATAAAACTGTGCCTATGCGAACAGTAGCTATTTAGAGTCTCCTGCTTTTAAAATAATTTATATTTTAAAATTGCACTTTAGCTTTTTCGATCCCTTTCTGTTTCTCTTGTTCTCTCTCAGAGCCCCTCCCTGTCTTCAGACTTGCCTTCTGCTCTCCCCTTTCCAGCTCCCCACCCTTCCCCTCAGGCTCTGAGCTGCATCATTTAAAATATTCTACAGAATATTTGCACCAGGTACATGTGTGTGCGTTCCTTAGTATCCAAGCAAAGACAGGTTCCTCACATCAGCCTAGATGAAGCCTGCTACAAGAAAACCAAGGAGAAGAGCCAGTTTATACTCTTTAACCCTTTATTCATAGCATGTTTTTTTTTTAAAGTTATATTATGCAACAGATGTGAGGCAGCAGCTAAGCTACACTTAAGAATTTTCTATCTCATCCTCCAAACCAAAGTGTCCTGAATGAGCCAGGAGACTTAACTCTATTGTGCACCATGGTGCATATGGACTGTGGTCCCAGCCATTGTCTCTCTGAGGCTGTTGAAGTAACAGTGGCCCTGTCTATTTCATTCCTAGGTCTCAAAAATACAATGTTGCCTTGTAACGTAATTAGGGACAGCACCTCTATTTTACAATGATAATCTGAGAAAGACAAGAAGACATGGAAGCAATAAACTTATCAGTAAAATTCAATACCAAAACAAAGAAATGAAAACAAAGACAAAAACCCTAGCTCCTCATGTTGTGAAAATGAAAAAGTGTACGTCCGCTCAAAATATTTTACTATTTCTTGTGGAGTTTTTCAGTGATGTTAATGCTTATAGCCAAATTGCTTAAAGAGTGTTTATATATTTTTTCCTTATAAATTGTCTATTTTTAAAAAAAAAGAAGAAACTATTTACCACAAGTTGAAGAGGGGGGTAAGGCCAAATTGCCAGCATTTGTTAAAAGATTAATATTCTTAAGTGGCGCTCTGATACGTTTCCAAGCTTATCATCAGAGGGGAATCAGTAACGATCAGCTCTTGTATTTCGACCAACTTATAATATGTAGCTCATTAGAAACCAGGATTTAGAAAGCTTTTCATAAGCCATTTAGGATTTCCTACCTTGAGTTTCATATTATAGAACTTTCTAGGATTTTTTAAAAAGAGAGAATCATTTTAGCCTCAGGACTGAGAATGTGGAACCTGAATAAATTAGCTTTAAGTATATCATTAAAATCTTATGCACAAGAAGCTCATTAGAGTCTAGTTGGCTCCTTTAGAATGCCAGTGGCATTGGCAGGAGATAATGAAAGGTTATCAGCAGTGGGCCAGTGGAAGGGGTTTCAGAGAAGGGACCCTTCCCAACCAGCCAGCCAGTGGAAGAGAAGACCTACTCACCCTCTTTCCTTCTACGTTCTGCTAAATCACACCTGCCTCAGAGAGAGGAGTTTTGCCTTTGAGGTTTGTCTTAGAGAAATGATAAGCTTGAAATGCTCTCCCTAGAGAGGACATGGGGTTTGGGATCTTCTGAAAAGGCCCAGAAAAATGGCTCCATTCAAACACAACATTCTAGGACAATTGGAATATAGATATTGTCCAAAACTAGAACTTAAAAAAAAAAAAAGTTTAGCCTTGTGCAAAGAAAATGCTAACTAAGGAAGTCCCCCCCCCTAAAAAACAGGTGCTGTCACTTTAAGTTCTGGACTGGGGGGTTGTTTGTAATTGTAAACAGCAAAGCATTTATGTTTGTCTGTCTATTTGTAAAGCAACCACCTTCCTTACTGGAAGGAGAAAAAAAATTGGGGGTACATACATGTAAATACTTGCTGCAGCATTTAATATGTTCGATTTTATGTTAAGCTTTTTGTTGCATCGTGAACACATTTATTGTTACCAATGGACAATGAGTTCATTAAGACTGTTCAACTAGGTCAGATTTTTACATCTCTTTCGAGCAAGAGGAGACAAGATTTTGTGCATTTGTACAAATGTTAATAATATCACTGCAATTCCAATATAATAAAGCACTCAAATGCAAATAATACTTGTAACTTTTGTATGATGAAATTCGGGTTTGGGGATAATGGTTTCTATTCTGCACATGGTCTCATTCCTGCCTTGTAAATCAAGGCTTGGTCTTTCAGGGTCATGATTCTCTAGGGATGGGAGGAAGTGAGATTTTCTCCTTCCTAGACCACCACTGTGCTCCCACTGCCTCCTCCATCCAGCTTCCCAGCTGAGGCCACCAATCTAACACATGCACAGTGGGTTGGCCACACAGCAAAACTTCGCTTTGGGGTCCACAGATTCTAGCAGTCAAGAAGAACAGCCAGCCTAAGTTCATGTTCAAGATGTCTAGGAGCCAAGAAGCACATACTGGCCACTCAGGCAATCGAATCCTGGAATTCTCTGCTTGGCTTCCAGAAAAGTCCTAAGGTCAGTTTTAGCACCTTTAGGTGTGAACTCTTCAAGATATCTCCCTCCCTTCCTTCCCCTTCTACCTTCTTTCCCTCCACTTCTTTCATTAAATGTGTTAGTCATCACTCTCCTCTTTCCCTTACGTTCAATGTCTGATCCATCAGCGTGGCCAGAATCCAACCACCATTGATCACTGACTACTATTACAGCTCTGTCC